CCCTGGCACAGCCGGTCCAGCCCGGAGTCTCACCCGGCACCGCTGCTGAGACGGGAATGAATTAGGGGAGCTTTGCCAGCTCTGAGCACGGCGTGCTGAGCTTGGACCGGGGTGTACCGTGCAAACAGATCCACTTCTTCTTTGTTGGCCCTGCAGAAATGTCCCTGCTTCCTCCCCCAAATGGGCTCTTTGGCCTTGCAGGCTGTGGTGCCACATGTCACTTGGCAGCTACCCTGACGCTGGCGTACTCGGAGCAGGCTGCGCGAGCAGGCTGTGCCAGGGCTCCTGCCGTGCCATGGGGCCATGGGCAGGGGCTGGAGATCGGCGTAGTGGATGTCATTGTCCTCCTTGCTGCTTTGCTGCAGAAGTGCACACAAATGGTGAATGCCGTCACAAGAAAAATCTTGCAAAAATAACCCTCATGGCAGGTTCAAGCTGGGACGGCAGTGCCACGGCTGCACAGATGGCCCCGGCCGTGGTGTGGAGCGTGCTGGGACCCTGTGCAGGTGGCTGCTGCTCGCCCAATGCCCACTGCGTCCCTGGAGCCTTGCAGAGTCCCTGTAAGCCAGGACATCGGCGCGGGATGCTCTTCCCCATGTACACGTCTCACTCTTACCTGGCTGGGCAGATGTGAGGTCTCTGCATCCAGGACTTTGCTGCTGGGGGGGAAGGATGGCCATTAGAGCTAAAGGAAGCCAGGTCCCCTCCCCAACCCACCTGGCACAGCCCTCCTCAATTCCCCTCCCGAATTTTAGCCGGGCTCTACAGCACGTGGCCATACATGACGCCCACGCTGAAGGCAGAGGAGAGGGACAACGTGCTGTCTGCGCGCCTGGGCCGGGCTCAGACACTGCGGTGAGGGGCTGCAGGGAGCTCCCCGGTGCTGGGCGCTCCCCACCGCACGCTCCCATGAAATACAGAGAGAAGCAACACAGCACAGCGATGCGCCTGGGAGTAAAGGACCTTTTCTGGGGAAAATTACGGCTCCAGAGGGAGAGGAAACCAGAATAAGGCAGGTGGAATGAGGCGGTTTGCTCGTCTCGGGGTGCAGAAGGAAGAGGTTGTGGGTACAAACCTGGGGGTGCCGGGGGTCCCTGCACAGCACCGCAGAGGGATAAGCGAGAAGCTGCCCACGGCCACCGGCCTGGCCAGGCACTGGCTCTCCACCTCGCCTCTGTGCTTCCTCCTGTATATGCAAAGGGCGACGAAGAGGCCGAGGAGGAGGAGGAAGCAGAGCACTACAGCTGCAGCCACCATGCTGGGAACCAGGGCTGTCTCTGTGGAGATACAAGGCAGAGTGGGGAGAGGGTGGTGGGCACAGGACAGGGTGGGACCCCGCCACGGGCAGGGCAGGTGCCACGGGACAGGGTCCCCAGGAGCAGCGTCCCGCTGGGCTGCACTCACCGTGCAGGGACACCACCGTGCCCTTTCCATGCCGGAATATCTCAACACCGCCCACCGATTTGTTGAATTTCACGCAGTAATAAGTGCTGGCATCCTCGGGTTGAACATCCCTCACATGGATGCTGAAGTCCGTGTTGGACTCACCCACTACCCTTGTCACGCGGGGGAAGGAGCCCTTCTGCTCATAGACGGTCTTGTTCCCACTGCCCCAGCCCTTCAGCCACTTCACGGGGCCAAGGGGACCATCTCCGGACGTGGTGCAGGTCAGGGTGAGCGTCTCCCCCG